GAACAACGCCCCAGTTTATGACACTTTGATTAAATGGCGCAGACGCTTTCAGTGTGGCCGAATAGGAGAAAAGCATTTCAAGGACGGCGACCAAGTGATTGCTAAAGTGGAGCGATTCCTGAGCACTCAAAACGGGAGTTCTATAACAATCGGCTCCGGCATATGCTGCATCGCTGAAAAAGTGGCTAACTTTTGGTGGCGAACATGTAGCGAAAATCTCAACTCCTACTCGAGTTTGATTGCTGAATCTCTATTCCTTCGTAACAATAACACAAACTTTATGAACGCCCTTCGCATTTGTTGTGTGCAGACTGAGTTGGCTTCCAATAGACCGTTCCATTAGGGTCATAGCAGAGAGGGTAAAAGAGAAAAAAAATTCACTCCTCCTCTCCCCCGCAAGCCGTCCGCCCCGCCGAGTGGGCTGTAGCTAGCGTCCGGCTGGCGTGCAAACTCTGTTTAAAATCGCGTCATTTTGGAACTTTCAAGCGCAGATGCGCAGATTTTGATACGCCAGTTATCATGTAATACTATGCTAGATAAAAAGACTCACAGGGTCCAATTGCACTGTTACCTGCGTGCAAATAAAAAACAAAAATAGGGAAAACTGTCAGATTGGCCGGTCTCTTTGGCGAAAAGAAAATCCGGTTGCTGTACCTTTTTTTACTATACAAAAGTTCGTACTGGTGTAGGCCCTTAGCGACCATGAGTGGAAGTTTGAAATAATAAATAAAAACGCTCTCCTGCCGCAATACACGCAGTAGTCGAGGGCAGTACTGCTGGCTGACTCAACTGCTATTTCAGTAACGGAAAAAAGATATGCTAGTTTATCATTTAGCAAAATAGAACAACAGAGAGCTATAGGCTGATTTTGGAGTAGCCACAACTATTCTAAGAACGCGAACCACTTCACAACGGCAGCCACGAGCGAGAGTTCGGTGTTCGGTAGAGCCCGCCGATACAGCCCAAAGATGGAGAACGGTAACCTCCCGGTTTGTCGTCTGCTAGCGGAGTCGGCGGCGTGCCCTCTCTCTCGTTTTACCCCGCCGAACCCGCTGAACTTCCCGGATGTGTGGAGAGGGCGCTGCGGTCGAACAAAATGGTGCCGCCCAGAGAGCGCTTAATGGAATGGTCTATTGCTACTATTGGCTATACATGTATATTTATAATTACATGGCAGATTCGGGGTCCAAATGACTTCTAGTGACTGTCCATGACATTCAGTCCCTATTCCGAGTTATTTGATTGTATGAAGACTGAGTTGTCTTGATATGGCTATTATTGGCTATATGATCATATTTATAAATTATATGGCAGATTCTGAGTTCAAATGACGTCTACTAACTATTAATGACTATTGGACACAATTTTGAGTTATTTGATTGTGTGTGGGCTGAGTTGGCTTCCAATGACTATTATTGGCTATTTGATCCCATTTCTGAACCATATGGCAGATTCAGGGTCCGAATGACTTCTTGTGGCTATCAATGGCTATTAGTCACTATTTCAACTTATTTGATTGTGTGCAGACTGAGTTGGCTTCATACGGCTATTATTGGCTATGTGATCTTGTTTAAAAATTATATGGCAGATTTGGGGTCCAAATGACTTCTAGCGACTATCAATGGCTATTAGTCACTATTTAGACTTAATTGATCTTATGCAGGCTGAGTTGGCTTCCAACGGCTACTATTGGCTCTAGGCATCTGATATTGACCTGGTTGGCTCGCATTGCCGAAAAATGGTTATTAGTGCTTATTGGTTGCAATATTGTGCTATTCTATACTTATGAATGAAAATGGCTTCAAGTGGCTATTGTTGGCAATAGCATATCATCTTAACAATATCACCTTAAATCACTTCAGAATGAACATTAGTGACAATAAGAGACATAGTATTCATGATGCTTTGAATACGAATGGATTCAAATTTCTACTATTATTGGCTATGGGCAGTTCATGGCCGAATCGGCTTGAAATGGCTATACACTCCGTGCGGGAACTATAGGGGGCGCTTTGAAAAACGCGCGCAGCGCCGCTAGCGGAGGAGCTGGCGTTCGACTGTGAGGCGCGTTCAGCAGCCTGCGGCGCCTTTTCGCATGCCAAGCTGTGGCGGCGGAAGCGCACACGGACGAAACTTTTGCTTTTTGAGCCGATAAGTTGAGGGTGACGTTGCATGAGTACTGGGGTAGACCTAAGAAGGGCATCTAGCTGTTCTCCACTTCTTATATATTGAGTGTGAGTCGTTACTAGGTGTAATTTCTCTAGTTGCGGCCGAATTCCGAAAAACAAGACGTCCGCCACCTTGATTGCTCTGGGTGGGAAATTTATTTCGCTCGTCGCTGTAAACCTAGGACTGCTGGAACGATGATATTTGGAGGCGAGTGAGATGTTCACTAAGTTTGTGCACGAAGAGTGCCAAGTTTCTTTAAGACAACAGGTGTGAAAGTTAGGTTTCTAATGAATGAAGAAATAAAGCTGTACGGGTTATCCAATATTCGACCCAAAATGTTGTGTTATAGCGGCTGTGTAAAGCGCAGATTTGGGCACACAGGTGCTTGGTCTTGACAGTAACATGACACAGCACTTAATATACAAAAAAAGGTGGCATAGGGAAACCAGGTGAAAATTTGGTTTGGCGGCGTGACTCAATGGGAACCGGTTTTGATCAGGAAAAGGCTGTCAAGAGAATACCACTGGTCGGGGGAGGCGGAGACTTTAGAGGTAGGAAGGGACTAGTGGACTGTACTTCCAATTGAAACAACTTTACGAAAGGTGGTTCCAAAGCCGAGAAAACAAAGTTGTCGATCAACGCACGGTTTGGCCGCCAAGGGCTTTTGCGGCCAGCTGTAGTGTAATAACCTGTTGTGCGAGGTGCTGATTTTCGGCGGACAGGTACTTTGACATGACCGTCACTTGGCACAACACTTATTATAACAAAAAGAGTTGGCATAGCGAAACCAGGTGGAAATTTAGTTTGGGCGGCGTAACTAAATGGGAACTGGCTTTGACCGTCAAAGGCTGTCAGATAATACCACTCATCGTGGGAGGTGCACACTTTATAGGTAGGAAGGTACCAGTGGACGGTACTTCACGTTCGAACCACTTTGCGATAGGTGGCTCTAAAGCCGAGAAAAAAAAAATGTTGTCTACAGAGCTCGGAGTGTCAGCGTTTCCATATCCAAAATGAGGCTGGTCAAGAAAGAAAGCACACCACAAAAACTTCCATACTCAAACGTCGATTCTCCAGTGATTCCGAGTTTCATTGTTGTTTTCTTTAGATTTATATGTCACTTTTTTTTACCTTTCGAATCTTTTTTCATGAAGTACAGATTGCGTGCCATACTTGTCCGGAAATATCATCGACACGTACGATGGGGACGAAACTTCTTTGGAGGGCATTCCTCCAACGAAATTGGCACTGCATACCTGCGAGTGTGGGTTCGTCCCATCGGCGCTGACACATGTAGGCGTTACTGGTACGAAAACAAACGCAGAGCGCAAAGCGGCATTGTAGAATATGTCAGCCGTGCCGACACAGTGGCAGACATGATCGGGAGACCAAATTTCTCACGTCGTACGGCACGGGTCCATCGTTGTCGCTGTCCCACAAAACATCGGCGAGGTGAAAAACTGTGAAACTTTGTCTCCACGAGATACGACGCATAACTATTGAAGCACTTAATGACGCAGCACAGGCAGCACTTCATGCTGTGAACCCAGCGCAACCGCACCACTCCGACTTCAATGCGTACCAACTACGCGGCGTGGTTTCGGTTTCGTTTTCTCTGGGGTTCTCGCTGCCTACCTCCAGTACCGGCCGCGCGGCGGCGCGCCAGTCGCGTCGCACGGAGTGTATACATGTGACATGTCTATCAGCAACTATTATTGGCAATTTATGCAATTGGAGGGTGTATAGATTTGAATGACCTCAACTGAATAATATTGGCTATATAGGCATCTATTCTTGACTTGGTTGCCTTGGGCTGGCTATTATTGGGTATAATCATCCGTTCCTGTGCTGGTTGGCTTGAATTGGCTACAAATGGCTATAAGTGACTAGTATTTATATTTAGCAGCTATTTCTTTGTCTACAAACTGGAATGGCTTCAAGTGACTATTTTTGGGTATAATCATCTATTTTTACCACATCGGCTTCAAATGGCTATGAATGACTATTCGTGAATATCCATTGAATGACTATAAATGGCTAATCATGAATATTCACAATTATACTTGCTATAGCCATTGCTAGCCCATTGAAGCCAATCTGGTCAAAAATGAACGATAAGAGCCAACAGCAGCTACTAAAATTAGTATGGTTAGTAAACACTAAAATTGCTCATAAATATAAGACTAGCCACTGATAGCCACTTGTAGCTATCTCAAGCCAATTTAATAAAGAATAAATGCTTATTGTCAATAATAGCCACTTGTAGCCAGTTTCATCCAGAAACACTGAAATAGAACCGAATTGTTAATTAATTATATTCGCTAATAGCCATTGCTAGCCATTTGAAGCCAATCTATAGATGCCAATAGCTAACAATAGCCACAAAAAGCCATTCCAGTTAGTAAACACAAAAATCGCTCATAACTATGAACACTACTCACTAATGGCCATTTGTAGCCATTTCAAGCCAATTAATAAAGAATAAATGCTTATAGCCAATAATAGCCACTTGTAGCCTGTTTTATTTATAAACACTGAAATTGCACAGAATTGTTTACACACGTTAAAGGAGCTGTGCAACAATTTCAGGGCTTTGCTTAAATAATTGTGGAAGTTGCTGCCTGACACTTCTGAAGTGAACTACAGAAAACAGATTTTGCCTGGATACCGTAGTTTTTATTTAAAAAAATGAAAAAGATCCAGGTTTTTGCCGCCTCTCAACTCGTACATCGTCTTCCGGGTCACGTGCGCAGTGACGTCGCTTGGGTAGGCGCGGGGTTCCGGGAAATTCCTCTCTCTAACGCCATCAGTGAGCGGCGAGAACTCATCCGCTCACGACCACGTGACCGCGTCACCGCATGCTTGCGATCAACATGGCCACCGGCTCCTGGAGAGGCGAACTCAACGAGGTCGAGCTCCAGATGCTGGAGTACAGCGAGTCACTGGGGCTCGTTCCGTACGCGGGGACGCCGTCGAAATGTCTGAGTGAAGAGGACGCGCGGGCGGTGCTCGACGGAAGCCCCAGCCCGACTCCGGACCCAGATTCGTGGCGGCTGACCACGACGGCATGGTAATAATCGCACATGCTGTTTGCAGGTAGCTTTCGTCTGACACTGGCTTATTCTGATCTCAGGTGCTCGTGCAAGAGGTGCGGCATCATGCCGACGCCTAAAGAGTGCATCTGCTGCAGGGAGTGTCCCCCCGCGGTCGCGACTCGCCCGGGAGGGTGCATCACGGAGCACAACAACTTCGCACCGATCTGCCTCCAGCCCGGCGTGCTCGAAGTCGCGTTCTGGGCTCTGCAGGAGGCAGGTCGTCACCCGGCGCCGCGAGAACAGAAGTGCGTAGTTTGTTTGAAATTTCCTTGTAGGAAAGTGTTGCTCATTTGATAGACATGCTTCCTGCGCTCAGGGATTGCAGAACGCGACCCCGCTAGCACGTACTGCATACGCCAGCGCAGGTTTTCCCTTATAACCAAGAGAAAGTTATCTCTGGGAAACCTTCTCCTAAAATTTTGTTCGGTGATTTTATAAGTTCGACTAGAATGTAATAAAACGCCAGTGTGATGCACACGGCAAGTCTTTCGCGCACAGTACCGACCCCACTCCCGTCTGCAAATATGCATGCAATGACCATGCAGACGAGCTGTCCCCTGCTGTGTGAAGCTTTGCATAGTTAGGATGCTCACTGGAGTGGAACAAAATGCTTGTGGCCTACTCTGTGCAGACCTTTCTGGGATCCTTCGGAATGTGCTGGCCAAGTAAAGAAGCTCGAGTACTCAGTGGTCACGGAGCCTCTCCTTAGTCCAGCTTATACTTCCAGACCTCACTTCATACTAATCCCAAGCGAAAAGGAAGCAACGGAAGCGAGCGCAAAACTTTGGGCCTGCTAAGCACGCGTTCGTGAAGGCAAATCGTTGTCGAAGACAGCGCACTCGTGCCTGTAACATCAATTTCAGTCATACAAAAAGAAGAAAAAAAAAAGGAATAGTTTATCAAGGTCTAATTTTTTGGGTTTTCCCTTTGTGAAAAAAGAAAAGGTATGCCTTATTTTTTATAATGCAGGAGTTTTTAAACATGTGACAGTCTGGGGCTGACAAAACATTTTGGGTGGCGCACACGCACGTCACCATGCAGATATTCCCATGGAAGAACACAACACTACGTTTAGGAGACTGCATCACAACTCTCTGAAGTTGCCCAGTTTATTTGAGCACAAGGTCTTGTGTAATAGGACAAAAGGCGGGTGTGCTCTGCATGAAGTGGCCCTATTACCCGCTTATATTGTTCAGCCAGAAATCGCAAAGTACAGACAATCAGTAAAACAAAACATTCAAGCTCGACACATGATGCTGTTTTTTTATTACATGCGGTCAAGTCTCCTATGTGCACAAGTAACATGGTCAGGCATTCATTGCATCTTATTGCACCGTCCAGCTTTTGAAAACATCACATCTCTGTAGTCCTGCGTTTCACTTAATTAGATACTCCAAAGTAAATCTTGATGTATTTTCATTTGTCACATGCACCTCAATTCCATAAACCTGCCCTATACTCGGAGTCCCAACTTGTGTGCAGTGTAGGCACAGGCACGAGCGCGTGGCTTCCAAACACACCCTCTGCGTGCAAGTGCTTGTGCACACAAAACACTGTGGAAAGCTGTGCCTGCACTGCACACAACTTGAAACTGAGTATAGTATCATCGAGATGTGTAGTGTGTCTTGGCTGGCACTTCAAACATTTGTATCAGTGGTAATTGACCAGCTTTGTCCTTATAAATTTTCCAGGCTTCGTTTTGCGGCCTATCACCAATTCGTGCGGTGGATGTGGCGGAGGCTGGGACGTCGCAATCGACGTGTTCTACCGGCCTGCGTGGTCAAGAGGATCCACGATGAATTCCCTTCGGAAACGTATATGGGGTTTCATGATGTAGAATAAAAATGTTGTAAACGCCACATTGTTTCACTAAAGTTTTTGCAAGCATACTACTTTATGCACCCAGACAACAAAACATTTCGACTGATTAAAACAAACATACAACTTCAAGCACTGATGCTGGTTTTCCCACAGCTTACAAAGCATTGCAATCAATTTTGCACTGTTCATGTAGTCATTCTACATTCAGTACTTCCTACAGCTTACGAAGCATTGCTGTTTATTTTGCACTATTCATGTACAATGTGCTGCAATACGAAGGACCCACTGGGAGAGCGTGACCGAGGCGGTGGCTGGCGGGGGCACTGCGGGCAATTTCATTCTGCTTCAAGGAGAGGATGCTCACTCGGGGCTCAGCACAAACTGATAAGCACATCGCACTTTAGCCGAGGCTTGACTCGAGTGAGCGTCCTCCCCTATCAGTTTGACACAAGACTTATTATGTGAAAAGGGGGCAGACGGGATGTAAACCAAACGTATCAACTAAACACACACAAAACAAGGCTGCAAGGCAAGGTCCCAAAAACATAGTGCATTTGCAGGTACTCAGATTGTGCTACATATGAAGTGGTACTCGCAGCTTGCAATCAGTGTAAAAGGTGATGTACGCTAGACAATAATGTGCCAACATCGGACACCCTGTTTCGTGTCCTTGATTTGACATGCCCTAATGCAAGGAAGACGACTCCCCCCCATGAATGCTCTTGAGGACCCTTGGGGGTTTGTGTGAGAACTGCTGTATCCGAGTGTTGGTGTGCCCTGCATATGGGCACGCTGACTGGCTGTCCCAATACTGTAAAACCCTTTACTTTTGCAAGCCCTTAATTTGGTGAATTTCGCGAATTGAAGGATTAGTGAAATTTAGGAGCATGCGAAAGAAAACACTGGCCTCTAGAGGCCCTCAATTCTCACTTTTGGAATTCACAAAATTCGGGGGTATGTTCCTTTGCCTGAATTGCAAAAAAGTGGGGACTGTGAAAATAAAGCCAGACCAAGCTCATACTTCGTTCCCTCTCCTTCAACCTGGTAGGCACAAACCAGGCCATGCCTCTTTGGTCTACTGTACTGTAATGAACAGTTCAATAGTGCAGTATCCTAGGAGATTCTAACACATCCATGGACACATGATCCGAGATAGCTATGAATGTGTAATAAACATGTTTTGTTCCGAATCATAACCGGACGAAATTCATTCCTCCTAAACGCAGACAACGCTACAAATGACCAAGAAAATGTGCAAGAACAGCATAAGGATCGCCCTGCAATGAAGTGGAATGGACCCCGACGCATCCAACAAATGACACCTGCCTAGCAAGATGGACTAAGGCGTGCTCCCCCCCATTTCCCTCCTTTGACGCTCGTGTCACTGATACCAATAATGTCGGCACTGAGTGGTCAATGTGGGTAAAACGGTTCGAGGACTTTGTGGTCGCCTGTGGAATCAAAATGATGCCAGGAACACCGCCTTTCAGTTGCACTATATCGGAGAAGACCTCTACGACACTTGCTGCATGCTACCAGAACCTCCAGTGACTGCGCCTGTCTCAACCGCAGCAAAGTTCTGCAGCGACACAACTGCTCTATACACAGCTACACGCAGGAAGCTCGACGCTTACTCCTACCCCAGGTAACTACGAGCTTCGAAGTTTACCGCTTTCAGCAGACGAAGCAGGTGGGAAGCGAGTCACTCAACCTGTTTTACGCTTGACTGCGGCAGCTTGCGAGGCACTGTGTGTTCGTTGGCCTGGACACCGAGATTAAAAACCAGATCCTCATCACGACAAAGTCCTCAAGGCTGCGCCGCTATACCATACAACACGACCTCGACGTACAAGGAATACTCAAGCAAGGCCGGCTATTCGAAGAGGCGAAGCACAACGTCAGCATCATAAAACAAAACTCTAGCAGCCCGACGAAAACAAAAGAAAGGTGCTCGCAGTGAACACCAAGCCATCACCACCTCATCTGTCAAAGAACTGGGAAGTGTGCAACATGTTACCAGTACTTCCTAACCCTGGTGACAAAGGCTACACCGAGATCGAGGCACAACAAACAGATGCAGCGAGGAAAAGATACGACAAGGCATATGTCAACAAGTGACATTACGCACAAACGTACAACTTCATTTCAAGTCAACTCGCGCTCTGCAGAGAACAGCAGCACAACAAATCCACCCCATTTTATGACCCCAGGTCTTTCACTGTTATCTCATTCCGAGGATCCTGCATCAAGGCATCTCGAAACGGAAAAGTCGTCAGGCAAAATGCCAGCTTCCTCAAATACACAGTGCGAGCGACCAGAGCCCCACTCCATCTCATGTTACAACAGCCCCAACTGCAACAAGAACTCAACCAGCAAGTGGAGTGCGCTGGTATTGTGCTTGCAAAGCAAACCATTACTCCGTTGCGTTGGGCGCCTTCTTTCCAAAACGGCTGATTCTGGCAGCAACCAGATCCTCCTTTGGTGGTCTGTCGCAGCTCCGGTTCAGGTTTGGCAGACGCGGCGTCCTCGCATCAAGCTTGAAGACCTCCCTCAGAGGTCCGATGTCCTTGCAGATTGCCACGGCCCGAGCCACGAGCTTTCCGACGTAATCTGAAAAATTAATTTATCATATTTTTTGATAGCTGTAGTTTATATCAAAACATTTTACTTCCAGTTATTTCAGTTTCGGTGCAAAGTCGGTAGCACCGTGATACAACATATGCGCCTTCATAAATTTCTGCTCAGAATTGTATACTCTACACATCTATATCACATAAAACAGGTGTCAGCTCGCATTTAGATTTATACCCGCTGTCCCGGAAAGAAAAGTTTGCACAGGTGAAACCTTCTTCCTCCTCAGCTGCCTATTTTCCACCTTGCGTGGGTGATTATGGCCCTCATGTGAAATTAAAAAGAGGGTGCCTCTCATTAAATTAGAAGTTGCTGATGCCATGGAGTAGATGACATACTATCTTTTTGACGTATAAATCCAATGCCGTGGGGCAGACGACACATCTTGATGCATGAAGCCAATGCCGTGAGCAACAGCAGTTTATCTGAGCACTTAACTTATGGGCAGATACTGTCCTGGTCTACAGGGTGTCTGATGTCAAATTCTGTGACTTTTCCAGATTTTTACCTATTTCGATAAAATACTCGGACTGTTTCGGCAACATTCAGCATGGCTATGCTGATGTGATACCGTCGCGCCCTCTTCTGCGCCACTGTGACACTTTCATTGGTCATTTCCCTTGATTTAGTCAACTTTTTGATGATTTCCTTGATAATTCCCAGACTTTTCCTGATGACTGAAATCTTCTGAGAATTCCAGGTTCTCCCGGTTGGTACACACCCTGTGACTAATCAGTCATCAGCTGTAGTCACTACGTAAATTGATCTCCTAATAGTACAGGAATACCAATTAAAAAGACCACAGAGTAGAATTCTTTCAGAATACCATATGTGACTTTTGTCTTTTGGGGGCAGACGGTGTGATGCCCTTTCCTGGCCTTGGGCGATCTCACTGCCCACTGCCTTTCACCCGCCTTAGTAGCGGCCTGCTCCCTTTCGCTGTTCTCATTCCAGTGTAGCGCTGCTACACGGGTCCTGAACAAATAGAGAATGCAGACAAACAAAATGTGGTGCAGCTCCCACAAACAGTATGTGCTTTGAAATGCCGCCCGGTATGTTTTGATGAAACTTCTGCATTCTTAGGTCTTCCTTAGCAGTGGAGATAGCAGTCATGTCATTTGGGTCTGTGCTGGAACCTGCACACTGCCACGAATCCAACGAAGGAACGATAAACAAACAGGGTGAATGATAGATTTAATGGGGGTGAACCTGTGCCCAAAGGCAAAGAAACAAATTAGAATAATGGAACGTCGCAGGCACCGATATCGGCATGAGAGCAGGGTTGAGCACTGGTGATGAATGGCTCCATACTGTCCCGCCAACTCTTCTTTCATGTTACACTGGTTTCTTGAACATCCGAACGAACACGATCGGGCATAGAACTTTCTAAGTCGGAACTTACCACTAATTATGCAATCATTCTAGAACCTTTCAGTAAAGTAGCAAAATAAAAGCACCCATGGTTCCGGGTATTGAATCTCGGCCACCAGCGTGAGAGCCCAGTGCACTGCCCAGTAGGTCAACCAGGCTATACGTGCAGCTACATAGAGTTGCATATTTAGCAACTCCGCTCTATCTACTGAGAAACAACGGTGATTCTGACGGAGCAGGATGTTAAAAAAAAGAATTAGGCCACCATGTTACACCCTCACACTGAGACTCTCGTCTTTCTGAAGAATTCCGAAACACTGAAAGAACTTAAAGGGCAACTCCGCTTCATTTTTGGTTTTGAAAAAACAATGCAGTCCTCTTCAGTATCGCCTAGGAAGACCACACGTGAAATGTTACGACGCAGTTCTGTCTAAATGTTTCTTAAACGGTCCGGCAAACTTTGCAACTCGCCAAGTTGCCGAAATCGGCTGACTTGAGCGGGCGAATTCAGGCGCAACCAACAGCGCAGTCAAGGCTACGGCATGGGCAGAGCCAACATTGAGCTAAATGTCATTATCATGGCCCCCTTTAGCTTGTTTTCACTTATCCGGGCGAGCGTAGCGCATGACGTCAGCAACGTTTCCTCTCGGCGCTTAGCGGTGTCCACGTGATTGGTGTAACGCGCCTGCGCAGCGCGTTTCTTGGGAGCCGTCCGGCCGCCCGCCGTGGTCCCGCCGTCTTCCGTGTCACAACCGCCATCATCGCCTCACCGATTGTGATTATTGTCTCTCGGAGTTTCATCCATACTACGGACACCACATAAGCCATAAGTCTGCACACCACATGTGCAGACTTATGCCGCAGTTGTGCAGACGTCGTTGAATGCCGTAGACACCAAAACGTGGCAAAGAGTGAGGTGCAGACGACACTCGCACCAGCCACACGCCCGACCCAATCCTGCCCGTCGTTGGGCCGAGGATCACGTGAC